TGTTCTTCTGGATTTGTCCCAGCTGAAGGTTCTGCTGCAGCGGCAGCGCCGACCCACATCAAAACCAGGATTTGTTTTATTGTGAATACGCAGCTCTGTCGTTGCAAGTGCGCCTGTGCAGACCAAAGCTCAAACCTTGATCAGCAAGCCAGACTTAAAAACTCCTGACGCATAACTGTCCTCCTGCTGAAACACATGCATGTCAGCAGCTGACTCTAATGCAGAACAATGCATTGTAACCAGCAGGCCCTGCTGCACGCTGCAGAGCGCCATTCCCCACATCTGTAAGGTGACCTTACAGATGTTTGCAGTTTACATCCTGCAGAATCACGTGTGGGAAAGTGCAGCGAGTGAAGAAGCACAGAGTTTTTAAAGTAATCCTGACTCGCTCGCTGCGAGTCACACGTCTGACTCCAGCGTCACACAGAAACCAGCAGGAGGACCATCCCCCTCACAGCCCGACACGAGGCTCTTGAAACGCCGCTTTTTACAGGTGAGTCAGTACTGCCACCTGCTGGAGGATTAGAGGCGTCTCAGTGGACTTTAAAGCTGCAGCGTTCAGGCCTGTAAGTCACCTCATCGCCCTGCAGAAACAAAGAGTGGCAGAAAAATCCCACAGAAGCTCTCAGACATCCAGGGAAGTCTGCACGTTTGCTTTTTGATACCGAGCGTCCACGTTTGTCTAACACACTCTGAGCTTTGTGCCGTTAAGCTGCAGCAGAGTCGCAGTCAGAGATCTTCACAAAATCTTTCCGCTGCTGCTTTTGTCCAGATGTCGGTCCAGACGTCATTCCTCAGGAGACGACTCGGGATCCGGGCAGCTTTCCAGGTCCTCACCTGCCGGGGAGCCCGACGGGCTGCTGGGTAAGACTCGCACAAGCCGGCGCAGCTTTTGTCATCGCTTCAGAGGAAACGCTTCAATACGAGGAGTAATCTCACACACACACCTGTCTCTGTTTTAGGGAGCGCGCTCGTGTCGACGCTGTGCTGGAGGTGATGTCCAGGGTCAAGATGAAGAGATACTACAGAGCAGCCATCACTACGGTCAGAGCACACACACAGGCAGACACACACACACACACACAGGCAGACACACACACACACATCACACACACAGCAGACACACACACACAGGAAGTCTGTTCCTTATTTATGCAGGAGAAGAAGAACCTCCACCTCCTCCTGTCCCAGCTTCCTCCTCTGTCTCACCGACCCTCTGCATGTCTCCTTCACTACATCCACGAACCTCCTCTGAGGTCTTCCTCTCCTCCTCCTGCCAGCAGCTTCATCTTTGTCATCGTTGCCGATATACCCCTCTCCCTCCTCTGCACACGTGCAGACCCTCTCAGCCTGTCTTCAGTTGGACCTCCTGAAAGCCTTTAACATGTCTCCATGTATTCTTCCTCTTCAGGTGGCGCAGCAGTACGAAGACGTCGGCTCCATGGATCGAGAACAGTTCACCAAGATTTTTGATGAGCTTGATAAAGACTGCATCAAGGAGGTAGAAGCGGGGCCCAGACGTGCTCAGCATTACATCTCAGAGACTGTGTCTGACTGTGTGTGTGTGTGTGTGTGTGTGTGTGTGTGTGTGTGTGTGTGTGTGTGTGTTTCAGCACCCTCCTGCCTCAGTACAGCTCCCCACCCTGCAGAAACCCGCTGACTTCAGCACTACTATCTCATTGTTGGAACGCTGTAGCTCTGGCCAATGTAGTGTGTATATGTGTAAGTAAACACACACACTCACACACTCACAGCGGTCACTGTGACACATGTTGTGTGTGTGTGTGTGTGTGTGTGTGTGTGTGTGTGTGTGTGTGTGTGTGTGTGTGTGTTGTGTTGTGTGTGTGTGTGTGTAGCTTGTGTGTGTGTTGTGTGTCTGTGTGTGTGTCTGTGTTGTGTGTGTGTGTGTGTGTGTGTGTTTCAGACTGTCCTGGTGTTGAACTCTGAGAAGTCCACAGCAGAGAGAGACAACTTCGTCTTGGAGGTGAAACAGTCGCACTCACTGTGTCAATGACTTAATGTAAGCGTTGTTAATGACATCATGTGACCAATAATATGGCAGCTGTGAGGTCACTGTAATAACAGACTGCCCATGAAGGCGGAGCTCCAGAAGTTCTAGGATTTTATTTTGAAGGTTATTGATTAGCAAGTATCTGCTCAGCTGCAGGGGTCAGACTGTCACAAGGACCTGAAATCTCGTCTCACCGCAGATTGTTTTGGATGCGTGACTGCAGTGAACTCACTGACAGACATTTGCTGCCATCGCTTAAGTCGACTTGTTATTAGCATTAATCTAAAACTGCATTTTTAAGGGACGCTAAGTTAGTAAAGTGACAGATACACTGCAGGACTTTCATCACAGGGTCAGAGTTTGGACTTCCTCTCCAAAGGATGAGTTATTCAAACTTCAGCAATGAGCGGATGTGACTCTCCCTGATCTCCCCTCAGATCATCAACCTGTGCTTCATCCTCTACTACCTGTTTGAAATGTGTGTGAAGATCTTTGCGTTCGGCTGGCAGGGCTACCTGTCCTACAGGAACAACATCTTCGACGGCTTCCTCACCGTCCTGTTGTTGGTAAACTCATCTGATTAAAGTTTTCCAGCTTTTTTAAACACAGTATTTGGCAGTTTGCCGTCTATTCTCCAAATCTATGACATCGCAGTCATTTGATTGGTCAATTTCATTAGTAACGACGCTGCAGGAACCACACTGGGAGGGTAATTTGTGTCCGCTGCTTCCTTTCAGGCCCTGCAGATCACCATTTTTATCACCTACAGGCTTCCGTATTCTCAGTGGTGAGTTCATGTCTGTTTAATTCAGCTTTGTGCCTTTTGTGTGTTTCTGTGGGGGAAGTGCCACTCGAGTCCAGCGAATGAGTGAAAATCTTCTCCAGCAGCTCTCTTCATGTGTAACACTCTGATCAAACGTATAAAGACACGCGTGTTTTAGAACTGCTGACCTCTGACCGCAGGGAGCCCTCTGCTCACGGCGTGCTGTCGCTGTGGGAGATGATCCGTCTGGTCAACCTGCTGATTGTTTTCCGCTTCCTGCGCATCATCCCGGACATCAAGGTACGATCCCAGATTCAAACACGTCGTCTGTCAGAGTTTGACGAATCATAGCCAAACACTGTTTTCACAGTTTCACTTGGAAGGTCAGAGAAAAATATACAAATGCTTTTATGTGACAGTCAGGTCATGTTTATGTGTGAGTCAGCGTCAGCAAGAGTCTCGCTGCTTCTTACATCCTTACATCACCTGTTTCACCATCGAGCTTCATCGGCTTTTCAAAAAGTGAGAAAAATCCAGTCCCAGCTGCAAAACGTTGGGACGCTCCCATAAACTCAGTTTTATTAACAGTGCAACACAGAAAACAGAGAAACTAAGAAAATGTGCCGATCAGAGCTCATTTTGAATTGGAGGCCGATTTGGAACAAAACCAGTCTGTGGAGCTCCTCAGTCCTCCAGCTCATCGCAGTCCAAGGAGCTCGGAAACAGAAGCGTCCGGACCTCTTTAACTTTCTTAAATACGTTTCTTCAGTTCAAAGAGCAGCGATTGGTGGAGAGTCACAGATTTAAGCCCTGTGGGCGTCGCCAAGAGGGCCGTGGACCCCCTGTGGATCCTCTACCTCAGGGGTGGGCAACTCCAGGCCTCGAGTGCCGGGGTCCTGCAGGTTTTAGATCTCACTCTGGGTCAACACACCAGAATCCAATGATTAGCTCATTAGCAGGCCTCTGGAGAACTTCAAGTTATGTTGAGGAGGTGTTGAGGTCATTTAGCCATCTGAATCAGCTGTGTTGGATCAAGGACACATCTAAAACCTGCAGGTCACCGGCACTCGAGGCCTGGAGTTGCCCACCCCTGCTCTACCTAATCACACGAGCCAAGGTGTGAAAACGGGTGCAGGTCACAATCAGCCAGGGTTTCAGGTGAAACCTAACCACACCCTATCATGTGACTTAGTGAGGTCACATGGCCCAGGATGCGAGTGGGCGTTGCCACATCTGGGAAGGATCTCAGACTAGATTTCAGATGGCACACAGTTGGTGTCATTTGGACTCGTGTGAAGAAACACCAACATATCACTCCGTGCTTGCTTCCCTTCATTGGCTTCCAGTGCGTTTTAGAATTAAATGTCAAAATTACTTTGACGTATAAAGTGCTAGTTGGCCGGACTATTGTCTGACCATTGCAGCTTTATCACGCCCTCTAGAGCCCTTCGATCAAGCGATCCCTGCTCCTTACCTTACATAAGTCTAGGTGGTTCATAGAGGAGATCGGGCATTTGCTGGTTGTACCTCTCCACGTTAGAAAGGCCCGACTGTCACTCTGTTTAAATCACATCCTAAAACACATTTTTTTACTCTGGCTTTTGAAACTGTGTGAGAGTTAAAAATTCTTTTATCCTAATTTTCTTTTAATTTTCTTACCTGTCGTTGTTAATGTCATTGTTTAACTGTTACTCTGTGCAGCACTTTGTCAGCTCCCTGTTATTAAACGTGCTTTATAAATAAATAAGTGAAATGAAACCATCTGTCCTCTCTGTCCAACGTGTGGACACTGGTGTGAGGACGCCACATGTTGGACAGAGAGGACGGTTCTAAAGAGTGAAAGAAGCGTCCATGTCCGCTGTGAACGCCAGCAGTCTGAGAATCAACAACAGTTTTTAGCGATTTCAAATAATCGTCCTGCGTTCCACACGCGGCAGCTTTAAAACATTTAAAACGCAGTGACTCCTCCCACTCAGTCTGCACGTTGCTCTGTTCTGCAGCTCATGGCTCTGGTTGCCAGCACGCTGTTGGACCTGGTGAAGAACCTGCGAGCGTTCGCGGGGATCCTGGTGGTGAGGTATCTTCTCTTTTT